CACAGGGAAACACATGTATCTTACCTCGGTCATCTTTCCTGGAGCGTTTTAGGCATTGATGAACACCGTACTGTGGCTTGGATTAACTTTTCTGGAGGAAGTAGCCCTTAGTAGCCGTTCCCTACCTTCCCGTGGCCTCTTTGGTTGGGTGATAAACTGCTTTTATTTTGTGAGGGAAGAAAAGGCTACAAGATTTCTTGATTTCTGGAATTAGATTGTTAGTACCAGAGCATTTCTTTCAGCCTGCCTAGACATAGCAAGTCCTTTAAAAACAAAAAAAATCTGGGAGCGCACGGCTGTTCTGATAAGCCGTGCACAGTCCGTCATTGGCTGGTCTCTCCTACTTCAAATGTCTGATTATCATGTGATAAAAGTCACAATGCAGAGAGATGACAAAATTCAATTCTGTGACTTTTTCCATTGATTTCACAGAGGAAATTCTTGCACACTGCGGAAATCCATGATGAAGGTAAAAATAGCTTATATAGCTTCTGTGATGAAACGGTCTGTCTGTTGTTAAGTAGTGGCCTCCCCTTTTAGGTAGCTGCAGTTCTGTTACTGTGAGGTATCCATTTTTGTGTAGTTTAATATCTTAGTTGTCTTTTATTTGGCTTTTCTTTCTCACAGTTGAAAGCACCTGAAAGTGTGGTTTGAAGTGTGGCTTAGTTACCCAAACTCCGGGCTGCTCTCAGAAGGGATGGTCCTGCCCTGTTCACAGTTGGGTGTTTCCACCGCTGCTTTTCTGTGTTCATGCAGCATGCTTGCTCAGAAAGCTGTTTTGACTGCAAAATAACTTAAAAGAGAAAAAGTCCCAAAATCTCAGCTGGATGAGCTCTCTGATCATGCTGACAGTGTGGTTGCCTAAGTGCTTACGTGGCCTGAAGGCGGTCTTGAGCCGAAAGCGCAGTGTGACTTTACATCAGTTTTAGCCAGCTGTAAACAGGCATCTTGGGGCTGTAGTTGCCTGAAACGCTGTGGCACAATCTGGAGGCTTGCTGCTGAGGAGAAGAGAAGATCCTGCTTCCGATCCCCCCCTCTTGCAAGCTCTGGCACTCATTAGATCCCGCTGTGACTTGATTCAGCTCAATAACCTGAAAGAAAATTATTCATTATTTTAACTTGAATAATAAGCTGGACCTGTATATGAAGAGGCTTGATGTGTGCTGATGTGGGTGCAAGGGAGGGGGACAGAACTGGGTAGCGCAGAGTGGGGTGACTAGGAGAGAGGATGGAGGTGTTCCCTTTAGCGACCCTTGAGACTGGTGTTGTATTGCATGGCTTTGCTTTGAGTGTGCTGTGAAAAGCCTTTTACAGCACTGTGGGGAGGGTTACAATTTAGATGCAGAAACTTGTGGTAGTTGTTCCCCTTACCTCCTAATACTTGATACACATACCAGGTGTATAGTTTTATAGATGAAAAATTGCAACTAGCTCTGTTGGTTTGATGTAACTGGTTGTCGGACTCCTTTTTTGTGTGCATTAAACATATAAATACAAAGATTGGTGTTAAATTTTCTTTTGCTGGAGATGTTCTGCTAGTCTGTTTTTCTTTCTGTGTATCTTAGCAACCCTTCTCAGGACCGACAGCATATTAAAATACAAATGGCGCAGTTTTGAGCAATTTTTTTTTCAAAAAACAAATCTGAAGTGCATAGCTCAAAGTTGAGAGCAAATTTACACTTTATACAAAGTTTCATGTGCTATTGAAACTACATGTCTATAATTTAGAAAAGCATTTAGGACTGAGCTGTGCCACTATTAAATAATCATTGATTAGATACTTGAATTGCCCAGATTAAGTACTGTTTTAATTACTTCCTTCTTTTGTATGAAAAGTTGTTTTTACAATGACAGTAGACAAGAATAGCCATGAGGCTGAGGGCCTGAAATAGCTTTTCATTATTATTTTGATTGTTGATTCCCCCCCCCGTAGCTGGAAGTTGTTTAAAATCTCTCTTGTGTTGTTGCTTGTGATCCAGATGGCTTTCTGCCTTTGTTTCAGTTACTAGATGGGAGCTTGCTGGTTAGTCACTAGTGCCACTGCACATTTGACAGTTTAGCCCATGACTCATTCTCACAGCCGTCTCATGCTGGCAACCAGTGCTGTTCTCGGTATAAATACTTGCTCTCTCTTGACCCCTGTGACATCAGCTGCTGGTGGAAACCACGTTCGTGACTGGACGCTGCCTGTGAAAAACATTAACCTGTTTCACTGTGGAAGGGAATATTAAGTGCCTCAGAGCAAGAATCGCTTCCCAGCGTGTTCAGACTAGCTGAGGATTGCTCTTCCCTTTCTTACTGAAAATGCAAATGGGATTAAAAAGGTTTTTGATATCTATTATGAAAGTCAGCAATTGTAAACATGTATCTAATAAGAACTTTGTAACTCTGTGTTTTGTTTTTTCTACAGGTAAGATATGTAGCATTCATAATTCTTTGAACATTTTCAATGTGTTGAAGCACTGAAGTGGTTTCAGCAATTGCAAATGTTGTAGAAAAACAACCAAAAGATGACGAAAATAAAAAAGGAGTTACGATGAACTAAAACAGAAATTATGAATGGTATAATCACAATGAACCAATTCATTTTATTCTCCTTGCTACTGAACCTGTTCAGCCAATGCTTTGGAATGGAGATACCACTCCTGTTTACCAAAGGAGGCAACTCACGGTAGACTCAGTGTGCATGTGCGCATGCAAGTCTGAAAAACTTCTGGTTTAGATCCCTCAAGTGTTTGTTCTGTAGCTACTATTGTCAGTTACAACAAAATTGCAGCCACGATATTATGGGTAGAAGTTGTTGTAGGAGTGAAAACAAATGATACCACATGTAAATAGTATCTTTCTGAAGATGTGCGAACTGGTAATGTGTAACTACTTGTTTTCTCAAGATTTTCCAAGCAGATGCCACGTTATAGTGTAGTCTGTGTTGCATGACAGAGGTTAGGTTTTGCCTGTTTATTTATTTACAACAGGACTTAAGATACCAGTCACTGTGGTAAACTTTCCACGCCCGTTGATGAGTGAAGAGAAGGATTTGTAAAGATCTGATAATTAAGATAAAATATTTTCCTACCTGACTTGTTCTTGTCACCAGCTCTATCTCCACTCCCCTGCAAAAAGAAATTCTTCTTGTTTTGATTCAGTCTAATGCAAGTGGTTGGATTTATTGTAAACGAGAACCCAATGATAAGAAACTGTTATTCAATAATGATGATAATAGGAGCTCCCTCCTTTTTGCTTCTATTGAGTAGAGTTAAAAAAATTTTTTTTTCCTTATCTATGTCTTCTGAAAGTTAGAGGTTTTTTGTTTTTTAAAGAAAATCCTGTTGTTCTCTTTTAGCTCCTACAAGCGAAATATTAATGAAAAGAGAGCCACATCTATGGTGTGGTAACAGGGTGGGTTGTCAGCAGTCATATTTGTGTGGGTCCTTACAACTTCTGTGAGGCTGAATGGAAAGGCTTTGAAATGACTTGGGTCTCATTAGTCAGTGTATTTACATGGCAGTTACAGATGAGACTTGAGGATGTTGTTTTACGCCTAAGCCAACTTTTAACTGGCAAGCTGATGGTAGCACAGCTGCGGTAGCAAAGAGCTGCGTTGAGTATTAAGCGGGGCTCCTTGTGGGGTCTGGGCTTGCTGTTCCGCTCGTGACTGATAAGCGTTACAAAGTTTCTCTAGCCGCTTATTCCAACGCTCTTTCTCTACTGGAGATCTCAATTTCCTGAATTTTTCCGAATGTCAAATGAACCATTTTGTATAATTTTTAGTGGAGAGATGGAAGCTGGTATTTAGGAATGAGGCAAAAATGGACTGTGGATATTTTAAAACGATGATTTTAAATGGTACTGTTTCTTTAAAAAGATGATCAGTAAAATGATTACCACTCAGGAGACTTTGTTAATGTGTACAAAATATTAACAGTTTGCTTACTGTAAATAAGAAGTTGGTAGTTGATTCTGTGCTGCAGGTATACACTATTACTCATTGCAGGCGTGTTCAACTTTGCCCTGTGCTTATCGATTTATTTATCTATTTCAATGCAAGCTCTCAGTATCAAGCAAAAGATTACGAAGGAGATTTTCCAAGGTACTACTTTTGTATCCCTGTTGTCAATAAAGATGATGATTCACATGACAGTGGTTCATTTGATTTCAAGGCCTTCCAATTTTTAACTCTAGAGTTTTAAATTGCGTTAAATTTGTGTGAAACTGGAACATCAACTAATCTAACTTTTTGTAAATGAAGCATTAGATGCTGCCCATCACAATGTTTGGATATAATAGCTGGTGTTGTGAGTTTTTCTAAACCAAGCTATTTTCTAAACAGGATAAGCTAGACAGGGAGGGCAATGACACACCTTTGTGAAAAATGATTTAGTCAGTCTCCTGGACTTCTGTGGTAGGTTTAGCTACAGTGCGCTGTGAAAAGGTTTCAGAGTTGCGAATAATAAATTGCTTTGAGATTGAAAACCTTTATTCATAGATGTTTTGCATAAATGTGTGTTAACTTTGATATACAGCATAATAATTACCTATAATTTTGCTACATGACCAAGTTAAGGTCCTGTATTGTACCTGGGTATACCTATGATGTTTATCATCTCCAGAAGGATTACCTTTTGATAACGAATTTTGCACAGTGTCCTAATTAAAACTATACTGTATCAAACGTTGACTTTTTAGCAGTGTAGTCTCCAGGAGTGGCTGAATTTCAAAAAGTTTTTTTTTCTTTTTTTTCATATCCTGATGAGCGGTTGCATCAGAGAGCATGTATGAATCTTCTATGGGATGCTACAAAGGACAGTAGCTTAATGAATTGTTAAATTCTGCTTTTTCAGCTAGTGTTGTAGTAGGGGAACTATCTTCTGTTGAAGCAGACCAGATGTGATGTCAGAGTGGGGAGGGGAAGCAGAAGAGAAGGGAAGGAGTGATAAAAGTAAAAGCAAGAGGGAGGTTGTATTAGTAGTAGTGTTGCACAGTCTGTTTATCTTTTACAGATGGTGAGTTCTCTTATCTCGCGTTGTCCAGCAAGAATTGGAAAGGTGTAGAGGTAAGTTGTTCTGGCTTTATTGGAGAAGTGGGTTACAGTAGTCTCTTACAACACCACTTATCGCTTTGTCAGCTGCAAAGCAATGGATGGATGAAGAGGAGGTTAATGCTTCAGTGAACAGTGATTGGAGAGAAAAAACGTCTGTAGACAGTGGTAATAGAGGACTTTGAAGGTCAGAAAAGCTAGATGTAGTATTAAGAGTAGTTAAAAAATTATTTCAAATATAAAGGACAAGTAGTCAGGGGGCCAAGGAAAAGTGAATTGAAGTAGATACTAGCACAGCGGGTTTCCTTCAGCCCTGCAGTGGAAGTAGTTTTCACAGTGAGTTGAATTCATAGCAGATGATCTGTCTTTTCACAAACAGTTTTAATTGTTTTATGTTCCAGTTCGTCTGGAAGTTTTAATGCTTCCTATGGAAGTTTCTGACTGTTATTTAAAACGGAAATGGTTAGGCTGATACATTAGGTTGGTTAGACTTTTTTCTTCTTGTAACTTATTGTTAATCATATAAACACCTGAACAGAAGTACTTTACCCAGGCAAATACTCTTACTGTACAAAATGGAATTCATGACCAGAACTGTACATACCTGTTGGCAACACTGGCATTTGAGACTCTAGACAAGCAAGCTGAGCTGCACAAGCAGGCTTACACAAACTTTCCAAAGACTTGAAAATGTGTGTCTAATTATGGAAGCTTAAGTATACTGAATTTTGATTTTATTTTTTTCCCCTAGGGCCATGTGGTTATGATATTGTTGAGATTCCACAATGCCTCCTGCCATGACAGACAGCCTTGACATCTGGGCAGTGGATTCACAGATTGGTGCTGATGGCTCAATATCTGTGGACTTCCTGTTGCCCACTGGAATCTACATCAACCTGGACGTCCCTCGAGATGCCACCATATCTCATATTAAACAGGTAAAACCAAATGGACAATTAAATGATGGCTTAATTTATATTCAGAAGGAGTTCTGTTACTGATTTTGATGTGCCTTTTGGCAAATCAAGTAATAAATTTGGGTAGGTGTTACAAAATAACCTATTAAAGGTGTGTATGTAACATTAATAAAGGTGTTTATGTATCTAGGGGTTTTGATTGTTTTCTGGGGGGCATACAGTGAGGTTCAAGGAAATAGCTTCTTGCTGAGAGTTGCACTTCAGCTGAGGTTACCATAATTACTCTATGTTAATACTGTATTGTTACAAATAAACCTTTTTTCTTAATGCATCAAAAATACATTCGGCATATTTATTTAATGTTTCTCTGATTAGTGTGGAAACAGAGACTGTCCAAGTTGGTTTTAAATATAAAAGTTATATATTTAGCTCCTGCTTTTTCTGATTGACACCAGAGATGGATGCTTTAAAAACTATCTACGACACTTTTAAAAAGTTTGTATACAAGTGCCTTATTAGGGCATCACTTTAGAAAGAGTTTTAAGTGCTTGTCTTTTGTTTCATTTTCCATAATGAGCATGGAGTTTCCTTGTCTGTTTATTCTCAAAACAGTTTGCTTTAATGTTTCTGTGCTTCTTTTTAAATAAGGAGTAAAAAAAGAGTCCTTCTTTGGTAATGTCTTTAATTTTGGGGGGATGTGGTACTGTGGATTTTACGTTTTGAAAGCCTTACAGACATTGGAAATATTGGAAATAAAATTGATCAGGATAAACGGGGAGCTTATAAAGCTTCCAGTCAAGACTGAAGGATAAATTTGTATATATTCCTCTTCTATAAGCCTGTCACAGCAGAGGGGCATAGACTAAATTAGTGGTTTATAACCCTTTTAATTCACCTTTTGCTTTTTTTTGAAGATTAGTGTTTAGAATTGTCATTCCTAAAATTATTCGCTTCTGTGATCAAAAACGCGGAGCAATAGAGTATCTAGGCTAGATATGTAGCTTTGCTTCAGATCATGAAGAGAATTCATGGCATTGCTAGTAAGTGCTCGTTAGGTTAGCTCGTTTGCTAACCTTCAGCCGCTCTTTCCTTTCTCGGCAATACTCATGACAGCTCGTGACCTGTAAAAGTACTTCAAAGGGTAAAAGAGTCTTCTAAACTAAACCTTGAAAGACTTTGTAACTGCAGCTTCTGAGATCCAGAAGTCAGTGATCCTAAATAGGCTCTCTTACAACGCTCCTTTGCCAGGAAAATGTTGATAGTATGAAGCTAGTGCTAAAATAACTCATCTAGCTTTTAGTAGTTGAATGTGTATTGGCGTCTTACTTTTTCCGTCTGGTTTCATTTGACTTTTTTCCTAACAGAAAATTTATAGTATTATACTTACATTCATCTTTTTTTTTTTTTTTTGGAAAAGTATCTTTCATGAAAAATAATCTCATCTTTCATGAAAAATAATCTCATCTTTCTCTTTTTATCAGAATGAATTATTTGCTATTTCTTTCCTGTCTGCTTTAATTTACGCATATAAATCGTTGTTATTCCTTTAGTACAAATCTCTGTTGAGGGATTTTGGGCTTGTTGTGATACATAGCATGTATAGGCCCTTCAGTTGGGGAAGTTCAAATTTAGTCCTTAATAAAAGGAATTATTTTTCTTAGGCAATTTAATAAATGTCTGACTGGCTGAATGTAACATTTTACTGTAAAACTGCAACCGCTTCTTTTGATATTCAGTGAGGGTAAAGTCTTGTTATTAGGTAATGTCATCCAGTAATAAAGTCATGAAATCAATTAAAAATGGCTTATGGCATGTGCAAAAAATACTTGCATAAAGTCTCTTAGTAATAGAATTGTTTTTTTGTGCCTAAGAGCTGTTTTTTTGTGTCTGACAAATACAGAGAAGTTCTACAACCTTATGTTGGTTAGTCAGTTATGTACAGCGTGCACCAAAAACACTGTTGTTGTTGTTCTGTACCAACACTGTGTTTCCTTTTAAAAAAAAAAAAAAGAAAAGAAACAAATCCTTTTTGCAGCTTTTCTTGTAGAGAGCATTAAGTGAGTTTAATCATTTTAATGTAAGATTCTATATGAAAAAAATCTGCCTCTAGGCTTAATAAGGATGATGTGGAAATTCAGCATAGGGCAATCAAGATTCAGTGTGACTACAGCTACAAGAATTAAGAAAGATACTTTCAGGGGAAAATGTAGTCAAGGCTGTTAATTCATTAGACCTCAGTCTTAAAAATGTTAATGGAGCATTGCTAAGCACTGTAGAGCATAGCTGAAAACTAGACAAAAGCACCTGTTTCTAGGGGGTTTTGTTTTTAATAAAAATCAGCCCTAGCAACGCTTAGGTTTGATCTGAATTGCATTTCTTTAAAACTGAAGCCAGTGGCCAAAATGACAAGCAAACTACTTGAAGAATTCCCTCCAAATTCATCTTCCCCCCAACTTTTCTTGGTCTGGAGTTTGTCTCAAAAGCCATCCCTTAAAAAGGGAGAGAAACCTCTCTTTTGCACAGGACGGGTTGATCTAGAGGAGGTGTCATGTGGTAGACCACAAAGCAAAAGGCTGTACTAAGTACATAGTAGCGGACAATCTGCTGACCTGCAGTCAGGTAATGACCATGTGAGGGCATTCGAACAGCAGGTTACTCTGGAGCCGACTACCGCGCGAATTACACCAGGAGGCAGTCTGCTCCGCTCCTGGGGCACAGGAATCTTGTCCAAGACGGTGAAAAGGGTGATTTGTCATTGCCTTGCTTGGTAAACAAATAAGAACATCATTTTTCACTGCTGTTCAGACTGACGGTATTCAATCGTTTATAGGGATAATTTTCTTCCGCTCAGTAGTGGCTTGAAATAATTTCTTGTAAGATGAAACTTTTGTAAATGCTAAAATAGTTTGTGTGAAGTGGACTGCATATCTTGGAAGACATGAGAGCGCCACTAATAATTGAAGTGAGCCAACAAATAAGTTTCGTATACTCAGTAAGTTGAGTGTACTCAAATACTTCAAATAATTCTGACTGGAAAAATGTCATTGTTTGTGTTAATAAAAGGATACCTCAATACAGGGGAATTTTTTTATTCGGGAGTTGGTTCTAATCTTTGCATAACGTGACCTGTCGCCAGTTTTGCAGTAATGTAAAACTGGTAAGTTTAAGTAAACACATTTTGAGGGGTTGTTTTCATTTATATAACCAAAAAAACCAAACAAACAAACTGGAAAGCCTAGTTGGGTCCTAAGTAATTGTACTAACCAAAAACCGACGTGTATCTGCAAGAGTTTTTACATGAAGTCTAGCAGTTCTCTTGTTTTTTGTGGCTTTCGGAATAAAGAAACTACTCGAGGGCTTTCAAGCTGTTTAAGTATGTAGGTTAAGTGTTAGAGCCCTTTTAAGTATACAACTCTAGCATTAGCAAAACTGAAATGATATTTGGAAATTTATGTCTTACTGTGGTTTGACATACAACTCATTTAAACTAATTGCAGGCAAATTTGGCATTCAGGACCTGCAGAACTATAATTTGAAGTTTCTAAGGAAAAAGAGTGTTAAAATGAGTTTACAGAAGTAATCTGTTTTATTCAGCCCAATATCAGTATTTTTTAATTACTGATGATGAATATGTGGGGTTTCTGTTTAAAAACGTCGGTTTTTAAGTACAACTATTCCAAGTATTACTTCAGTAGTATCCTCTACTGATGGGACACACTGCTACAAAATATCTGAATGGGTTACTCATTTATCAGTTCGGTGGCTTGAAGCTTTTATATTTTAAGTCCTCTATATAAAAACTCTAAATTATTTGTCCTGACTGAGGTTTAGGTAATATGTAAGGAAAAAAATAGGTATAGGTGTCTTGAGAGAGGAGGATTTTGATAGGCTACGGGGCTGGATGGAGGAGAGGGACAGTTTGCTGGCCCGGGCCAAGAACCCCTTCCTGGGAGATGAGCAAGTGCTGTGCCGCTGCAGGGAGCCGCAGCCCGTGCTCCGCGAGCGCGCTGCAGCGCCGGCTGTAGGAGTCAGTCCCAGGACGAGGGTTAGCGCCGCCCTTCTCCCGTCATCTCACAGTGCTTGTCCTGTGTGTTTTTTACCTGCGGGATATTTACGTGCATTACTGGCTGTTTAAGAATAACCTCAAGACAAAGACCAAAGAGAAGGCAAAGCAAATGTTTAAAGATAGGTAGCGATAAAAATGAAGCAATTTAACAAACGCTTTCTTCTTAAGCCGTTTTGCTCTTATGTTTTGCTGGGAGCATAAATGGAAAATTAATGTTGCCTTCAGTGCCATAAGATATGTCTGTGTGTGTGTGTTTTTTGCAGCTGTTATTGAAGAAATCTCCTTATGGAGATCGACTCGTACATGTTCTCATGTGTGAATCAGACTGCTGTGCATGAAGAATTAGAGGATGAAACTCGGAGACTTTGCGACGTTAGACCCTTTCTTCCTGTCCTTAAACTAGTGACAAGGAATTGTGATCCAGGAGAAAAGTTGGATTCTAAAATAGGTGTCCTTATAGGCAAAGGTATTTACGTTTACTTTCCATTTTTTGAAAACATAGGGGAACTTCTGTATTGCTCGAGGGTCCTATTTGGGCAGGTAACAGTGGAAAAACTTTAAAAGAAATGTTTTACTTCTCTTTTTGATCCTCTCTTCCAGAATTTGCCTTTCTAAACTAATACTGATGTAATTTAAAAGAACTTAATTACTATTTATCACATCAAAACGAAGCATCTTAAAGTTGATGGAAGGTAATTTTGAAAAGAGGAAACTGTAAATAATTGAACAAAGGAACATGGCTGGTAGAGCCGTTACCAGTAAAAACTGATCAAAACAGATCGTGTGGCTGGAGGTGGACTCCGGGTTCAGAGCTTGTGCACGACCTTTTGACTCGTCTGCAATACAAGGTTGAAAACTTATGTGGCAAAGATGTTTCTGTAATAGTGACCAGATTTTAAGATTGTTATAACTACTTGATCCTCTTTTTCCCTCAGCAGTGAACTGCGATGGCTTAATAAAGCTGTTTTAGGGGTACTGCATAATCAAAATGGGAATGCCTCTAAAAGGAATTCATATGTCATTTTATCTTACAGCACTCTATTGCATTGCTAGTGCAGTTTGAGGGCAAATTTTATCTTATTAAATGAGAGGAAAAAATCTATTATTGCTAAGTGAAGGAAAGCATAATAACTTGAAAAATTTTATCTTAAGCATAACAGCGAACTCAATACGCAGGAGAAGCTAGAAATTATTCTGGTTTTGGTATACATGGCTTCTGAGTTGGTTAACAATATGATTCTTGTTTTTTGCTTTCAATTGTGGCAGTGATTTTCAGCAAACAATGAAAAGCTATTTTTAAAGGTTTCACAGTAACTTGTTCTTGATGTTATTTCAGAATTTTCAGCTTTTAAATCTACTCTGCCTCGTTATACAATAAAGATTGACAGGGTCTTGTGAGGTCATACCGCTTGTTTTAAAACAATGCACCATTGTTAGCTCTTTTATAAAGACTGCAGGTTTTGTTTAGATTTCAGCAATACACTGTCTGCCTATTTGTTAAAGCTGACAATGGAAGCTGTTGGCCAGTTTAACCGTTCAGACATAGGATTCTGACAGATTCCAAAAGATTCACGTTCTTTGATAAATATTTTGCTAATTATGGCTGTGCAAGATGCTTCTTTATTTAGCCCCTGTTCTGTACCTCAGCAGTGGGAAAAATGCATTCCAGGCTACGCTTCCCAAGTTGATATGCTTTGTTCTTAAGAGGTGCTTAGTGCTTTTTTAAATTTGGACAATATCCTCCAAAGTTCAGGAGAAATGTAATGCTTGCAGGTACCTATACTTCACCTAGTACTGAAGAAGCACAGCTGTGTAGACTCTCCAGCGCATACTTTTTTTTTTTTTTTTTACTTACATATTTTAGAGAGGGAACTCTACGGGGTTTGGATTGCTTTAACTTTCAGTCTTTTCATTTTGACTTGAGTAGATTAATCACAAAGAAAAAGCAAGAGTAACTTGTTAATTTATAGTCGCACTATTCTCCTTTTTTCCCTTTTTAAAATTTGTTATTATCTTTCTGGGGGAAGAAATGGGTAGCTTGCAAACTCTTCCTCCCATATGTGGTCTTCACAATGCATTTGCCTTGCTTTACTTTTGGCAGTTGTGAAGGGAGACTTAGCCTTTCTCAGTCTCTTGAAATCAGGGTGATGTTGGCTTTTCCATTCAATGTTATCTAAGAGAAGCGTTGTTTGTTGCTATTTAACCTAAACTCTCATCCCAGATTGTATGGGAATTATGCAAATACATTTGGAAGTTCACTGATGCACAAGGCAAAGTGGAGCCCACCTGTTTTAGATGGGATGATGCATGAAGAAAATCACTCAAGCAACTTTAAGATAATAAAGGTTTGAGTGGGATGGTGAATAGATAGGCAGTATTTCTGCAGTTAGGTATTCTTTTTGATTAAATTCCCATAGGTCTCCATGAGTTTGATGCTTTACAAGACCCTGAAGTGAATGACTTCCGAGCCAAAATGCGAAGAATCAGTGAGGAGAAGATTCAGTCGCTTGTCGGTCTCTCTTGGATGGACTGGTTAAAGCACACTTACCCGCCAGAACAGGAACCTGTTATCCAGGAGAGCTTCCAAGATAAGCTCTATAGCGGAAATCTTGTAGTTGCCATTCATTTCGATAACTGCCAGGTAGGAATGACTGTTTGTCATGTTTAACCGATTGCACTGCTCTGGATTCTGATGTGAGTTAGTGTTTGATGGATCAGAGATGTGAATGAAATAGAGCATTAATGTTATGATACTTGTTTCTAAAATGCAAATTCTTTTACCAGGGTCCTTGACTTTTGAAAGGAAATGAGGAAGAGTAGAAGTTCAGTTCACTACTGTGAACTAAAGTCAGGTTGCATTAACTGATGAAGGGTAATGCTAATTCACTATATAGTGCAGTATATAATGTAACAATAGCCCTATAGTGTGTATATATACATATGTTGTTCTGTACTAATGGAAATGTAGCAAGAGCAGTGTAACTGGAGCAGAAAAATTTTATTGTTATATTTTCTGTGTTCTATCTTAACTGTACAACTTAGGTTCTGTATTATTTCTTGTTCATTTAAGTGTAAAATGTAATTCAAAGTTGGCAGAACTTTTTGGGGCCAATTTTTGTTGCATTACTTCATGAAGGAGTGTGAGGCAGTGTATTCAACACGCTGCTTTTTGTGTGCGATTCATTGCTGAACGTCCCTGGGGTTACTCTGATAATGTTTAGGTTGGAAATATGTGGGAAAAAAAGAGGAGTTAGTATTCCCTAAACTGGACATGCATATAGACAAACTGAGACTTAGAATGACCTTTTGTCAGCGAACAAACTTCATAGCTAATTTTTAAAGGAAAGAGGAAACTTTTCTAGGTGGAAAACAATTTCCACCTAGAATAAGAGTTTTGTTTTTATTTTTCTGATGATGAAATTGCTATGATTCTGCTTGAAATTGCTGTGATTCTCCTCAAGACCAGCATTCCTCATACTTTTGCTTACACTGTGGTCTTTAATAACAGCGAGGCGTCAGAATGGGAAAACTTAGAATCTCAGAAGCATATAATGTATCTGACCACATTTGGTGTCTGTTTTGACCCGGTTGTTGATGATTCAACCAATTTTATCTACAAAGCTATATTATTACTGATAACATCTTTATTAACTGAAAAAAAAATCCAAAGTACTGAAAACATGCCTGACTCTGGAAACGCTAAATGAAGGGATGAATATTAAACTTGGTAGCCAGCCACACTAGCTGAAGCTGGATGCATGGATGGTTGGTTGGAAACACCTTATTCCATCTTCAGCTTAGTAGGGACTTGCAGTTGTCCAGGGGGAATGAGAGGTGGGTTCAAATAGCTGAGTATTGGTCAGCTGTTGATTTACAATACTACAGTTTTGTGCATCTGGAAACAATACAAAAGCAGTGTAAAAGTTCTTGCTGGTGCAGAATGTGTTTGCCTACCACCTTAACAGCTTAGCCTGCTGACACTTGAAATGCTTCAGATGCTTCTGCTGCCTGTTTTGACCTTCAAAGCTATTAACAGTTCAAATCTGAGCAGCTTTAACACAGGAACTCTGCTCCAGACTTTACTACTTGCACTTAGTACTAAGTATTGTAACAGGAGAACTAACTAAGAAAAGTATGGGGACTGCTGTGTCCTTTCAGTAGGAACACTGTGCGAGACAGAGGAGAAGATTAAAATACTTGTTGCCTAGAATATACGCGGGTGAGCTGTCGAGCTCCCGAATTGGCTCTGTGAGCAAAAGCGTGGAACTGATCCCCGTGGCTGGGCCTTGCACCTGAAGGGCTGCAGTGACGGGGGACAAAAGCAACTGTCAGAGCACCAGCTTGCTGGGAGGAGAGTGTGTCATTCCCTCTCTGCTCACTATCAGTTATGATGGGAAAAGAAAGCTTTCAGGTTTGGCAGCGTTTTGAAAGGGGGAAGCTGTTGTGAGCCATGTGATTTTGAAACACAAAATACTGAATTAATTTTGCCTGAACTTATGATTATACTTTTCCATTTGGGCAGCTTGGCTCCTTACCAGTAAGCTTTTATGTAAATAAAGCATAAAGCAAAAGAATGCAAGCAAGACCACATTTTGTGTTTCTAAATAACTGCTCTTAGAATTCCTACGTGTTCAGGAGTGTGCGCGTGCTTAAATTAAAAAAAAAAAAAAAAAAAAAAAAAAAAAAAGCCCAGACCCTCTGAATGAACCTTTGCAATTAAATATGTAGAACATAACGTGGTAGATGAGGGGAGATAAAAGATTTAACTTAAGACTATCTTTTTACTCTTGGACTTTTAAATGAGTTTAAATCTTTGTGCCATTTAAAAAAAAAAAACCAGTAACTTCCTATCTTTACTTTTTTTAGAACAAATCAAAACTAGAGCAACTGTGGAAATATGTAAAAAGATCTGACTAAAAATTTTCTTTGAAAAAGGTTGTGTTCAAAATGCTACCGGTACCGGCTGCTACCCCTCTTCTCTCCACTCTCCCAAATAAGATGGTGCAACTGAGTAGGAATCGCATTAGCAGTTTCTACTGCTTTATTACCTGAAGCTTTTTTCTTCTGAGTACCGTGGTATGTAGAAAGAGGACGATTTAGCAGTGGCCAGAAGGAAGAAGAGATTAATGCATTTAATACAGCTAAACACCATAGAACACACGTGTTCTGTTGTCTCCCTCATTCACATTGTAAAACGTGAAGCTCTAGATCAGTATCCTGAAGCTGAGAGTTCGGGGAGACTCTTTTAATAGCTGCTGAATCAATTGTCTTTTTAAATAATTGCACCCAATCCTGTGAACATGGATTGATGTGCTTAAATCTCTGCTTTCTGAGGACTTTGTTAAACACGTACATAAGCACATGCAAATTGGACCTTGAGTTATCCCTTGAGATATTCAATACTATGGACACTAGTTTATGGTAAGATGGTAAGAATCTAACCTTTGATTTTTATGCCCATGAAATGAGCCTTTGTGGCCTAATTTAAAGCCAACAAAATCACGAATCAATCACCAGACTGGTTCAAATATGGAAAATTTAAAATAAACATCAATTTCATTTTATTAGAGACACCCCAAATGTGCTACTCTTCTGTTATGTATTCTGTTTCAGTCAAATTCTGAAAACTAATACAAAAATTATAATATGTTCAAATATATTCAAAAGCCAGGTCCTGGGCAACCTGCTGTAGGTGACCCTGCTTGAGGCAGGGGGCTGGACTAGATGATCTCCAGAGGTCCATTCCAACTTCAACCGTTCTGTGAAAAATCTGAAATGATATTTGCTTAAGATTTGCTTTTACTTCAGTTTGAATAAAGTTGTATGTTACTCCATGTATAAGCAATATAAAAGCTTAGAGGTTGACTGTTCTTTGGCTTTTGGATGACTACTGCTCCATTTGCACTGACAATGTATAGATTAAATGTAAGTGTCAGAGTAAGACTGTTTTTAATATAGTAACGGTTCTACCTGAGTGGCAAAACTGAATGCAACAGAATTCAAACAGAGATACACGTAAGAACATTCAGATGAAGATAGCTTCAAGTTGCATAATTTTGTGGTTGCTATGTATTTCCTGGGAACTCTTTTGTTTTTGAGATTTATCCAAATATATTAGAAACAGTTTTTGAAAGGATTTGAATTATTTTACTTATTTATGTACATATTTTGGAAAACTTGAAAGATTTTATTCATTGTGTATGCTATAATTGAAGCCTTGTGTATCTGATATGAGAAACGGATGTTCAGTATTCCTCTTTCTGTTTTGTTAGGATGTATTTAGTTTTCAGGTATCTCCTAACATGAATCCCATCAAGCTGAATGAACTGGCAATCCGAAAACGTTTGACTATCCATGGAAAAGAAGATGAGGAAGTTGATCCCGCTGACTATGTGCTGCAAGTTAGTGGGAGGCTAGAGTATGTTTTTGGTGACCACCCGTTAATTCAATTTCAGGTACTTAAAACTCTTTGCCACTTACTATAACAGTTACCCTCTGGGGCCTTGGCCACAATTTCTTCTTGCTCCGTGTGCCATTAGGCATGCAGTGAGCATGCTGCGCAGTAACGTGCTTCCCCCTCACGTTGCACGCTACTTCCCTGTGTATTTAATTATAACATACAACACGTATGCCACTTCCTTTGTATATTTGTACTATGTTACTGATCCTTTGCTGTAGGAATATTCAGTTAATTTATAACAACTATTTTCCATGTGTTTTTAGTATATCCGCAACTGTGTGATGAACAGGACTCTTCCTCAACTGACTCTAGTCGAGTGTTGCACCATAAAAAAAATGTGTGAGCAGGAGATGATTGCCATAGAAGCTGCCGTAAACCGAAAATCATCCAACCTTCCTCTTCCTCTGCCACCAAAAAAAACAAGAATAACAACTGTAAGTTGATCTGGAAAATATTTAATAGTCAAAGGGAACAGTGACTTGTTGAATGTAAACCACCAATGCCTGGACTTCTGCTATTGCTTCTGTTTTCCAGCGTAGGCCTCCTGGGTCTGCTCAGGGCTCGCTGTTGCTTGCTTGAAGAATTACATGAGAAATAGGATAATGGCAACTCTTGCCATCTTATCCATCCAACTTTTCTTTTAACATGGTCGTGCTTCCTTTATTATCAAATTTATCATGTCCTTATAAGACTATTATAATTTGCATAGCCTCATGTGGACAGACTTCAGTCTATGAAACAGTTTTCGTTTTAAACAGCGGGTATATATTCAGAATGAATAATACATTTGAAGGGTTATTTTTAATTGTCGACAGATAGTACTCAATGTGTTTTCTTATTTTGTCTCAATGTTTTGAGATGGGTGTTTTTTCTAATCTCTTTCCATTTAGGGCGCCTAGTGTGCTCTAGCAGTTATGATAACTTTTTCTGAGATCTGTAATTCATTTTTAAAATAATCATGCTTTTTTAGCTTGTATTGATTACTTTTGCTAAGTTGATCAGCTTGTAAAATAGATCTCAGTACGCTACATTGATTGAGAGACAACTTGTATCTTTTTGTTTCACTTCTCAGAGTGTATGGGATATTTGCAACCCTTTCAAGATCGTTCTGTTGAAGGGCAATAAACTAAATACAGAAGAAAATGCAAAAGTAAGTAATAGCGCCTAGTATCAAAAGACATTCTGTTCATTATCCAATGGTTTTCAGTGTTTACTGAACTCAAAATCCTACAAGTTTTAATTCAGCAAGAGTCCCAGTTATATCAATCTGTACTTTGTTTTATATATATATTCTCTATATTTTTAATATACATACATAGATAATTACAGACACGTGTTCATATTTGCTAATATGGTACATTTTTTTTAAGAAGGTGTAAGTACTGATATGGATGTGAAAGAAACCTATTTGAACTGTCATACTATAAAAATCTAACAAACAAATGTAAATTAAAAATAAAACAATTTTTGGTGAAGCATAAGGTAAAATATGGCATTTATGTATAGTCCAAAATATATTCTATGTGTGTCTAAGCATGGATTGCATGCTTCTATAGTCTATTTTTTATTTTCTAAACATGCTGCACACACACACACACACACACGTACTAGTGCTTCCTGTAAAATGTACATGCCTGGGCTTCTGTCTGTATTACAGATCACAAGTTGTTAACACATGGGAGTTTATTGCACAACTACTTTTAAGACTTAAAAAGCACTTGAAATAGAACAACATTTGTTTCCTTTATTTTGTTTGGCAGACATTTAAGTAGGTAGCCGTGTAGATTAGGAAGAATTTCAAAATTAGCATTGAAGTTTGCTGTTGTAGTGCTTTATTCAGTGGTGGTTTTTTTTTTTTTCTCAGAATTATTGATACAGCCTTCTATTGATACTAGCCTATTGTTTAGCTAGTTGTATTATCATTTTAGTTTGACAATCTGTAGAGTCTTAGAGCTTTAAAAGACAGGGCTGTGGAGGAAGAGGGTGGATAGCCTAGCTATCAAGTGGGTTTTTTTTTTTTTTTGTTTTGTACATACAAAAATTGAGCTGTGGTTAATTTCAGTATGCCTTTAGAGGAAAAAGAAAACCTGTTCATCTAATGCTTCAGGAGGAAAAACAAAATTTGACTATTCTTTAGTATTGGTCTCTGTGGAGACAGGGTTTAGTATTTTAAATGTATTTCAGTCATTTCTAGATGTATAAAGTCCTATAGTTACCTCAAAATAAGGATGCATGAAGTAACCTTGCAGGCTTGTGCTTGTTTCTCCGCGTTGTCTGCCTGTGCAGTCACAGAATTGTCACTGTTGGGAACTTATTTGTTTCCCTAGTCCTGATTCGAAGTGTGTTTAATTCACTGCCGTTGTTCTTTCAGTTTCATTGCGTGCTTTGGATCAAGCTAATATTCATCCATTTTTGCTGAAACGGCCGAAAGATTCCTAAATGCGGTGTTTGTAGTAGGAAACAAAACGCTTGCTAGAGGGATAGCAACCTACTACTGTGCCGTCGTTCTTGCTGATACTGTTCAAGAACGTAGAAACTTAAGCATGCAGTTTTCTGTGTGCTTCTGTTACGAAGCAGTAATGCAGAAGTGAGCCGCTGCTTAGCGTTGACCGATAACGCGTTTAATTTCAGAGCCCGTAGCTGCAGCCTCTCTTCTCACCCTTCTCCTTTCCTGTTCCTTGTTTTTGTAGTTCAGGCTAGCTGGCGTCATCAGTTTCTGGGTGCTTAAGACAAAACAGGATTCCGGAGAATTATGTATGCTCTTATTATTACAGGTGGTTTGTGATGTCAAGATCAACAGCTTTCTGTCCATACATTTCTATAAATAGTTTAAATCAAAAGTATATTTTCTGTTAAGCTGAAGAACCCAAAGATTTTTCTCTACTAGATGAGCTCAAATCTGTACTACCTGGAGATCTGGCTTGTTACATTCAGAAAAATATTCTCAATTTCTGCCTAATTATCTGTTTCCTACCATTTCCTTCGCTCTTAGTATATTGAGCTAGAAGCATTTGTATGTTGATATATTGCATTTGTTCCTTCAGTTAGGAGACTATTATTTATTAGTCCTATGTGGTAATATAAGGAATCCGATACTGAAAAATTGGCAGGTAGCATCATTTTAAAAAATATATTTTTGATTTGACAATCAAATGCGATTTGGTCATCTATATAAATTTTCAGATATGAAGAGAATAACCTTCTTTATAATTCGTAGCCACTTTTACTATTAAATAACACTTGATCTACGAGCTAGTATTGCCTTTTACAAATGACGTTCCCTTTCAGAGGAACGAAAAACCAAACCATTCTTCTATTCCTCTTTTCCCCTCAGCTCCCCCAAATTAACAGCACGGTGACAAAAAAGGCATTGTCTTTTTCCCTTCCTGACTTCACAGAGAAATGGAACGTGATTTGAGAGAGAATGTCAGGATCTGGGTACAGGTCTCTAGAGCAATCACTTATCTTATGCTCAGCCATGCTTCGTGAGATGATACTAATATTCATCTCAAATGGGTCAGTAGTGTTTTGGGTCTGACTTTATCAGCATTTTCCTGGTTTTGCTTTTCAGGGAAAATTAAGAAATGATCCAAAAATCTGAATGGAGAGCTTTTAAATCTTATTTTCCAGTGCTGTAGGCTTAATGGTGTAAATGATTAAACTATCAGGCAAAAAAAACCAAAAACCCTGAAATCTTACCAAAATTCAGAGCAAACTGAATTTCAAGTTCAAATAAGTGTGTCTGATCTTTGTTTTTAAAAATGTATATAAATATTTCTCCTCATATGCAACTGCTGTAAAAGGGAGTGGTATAATATTATGGGAGAGGTTCTTTCATGCTGATGTCTCTTACCAGAAGAAACAACGGGCAATTTTACTAAGGAATCTTTAGAATTCTAAAAGAGTTTGTACATTAGGAACTTAATTAGCATTTGGACCTTCTTACAGTTATTGAAGTTATCACTGTTATTACCGTGCTTTTAATTCTCTGCAGCTCAAGGACAGTTAAGTATAAGTTAAAGGAGACTCTTGTATTTCTATGTGTTTCTAAAATATTCTGCTGAGAATCTATAAGTTTTAAATTTTTTTCTTTTTCCTTTTCTCTTCCCTTTTTTTTAAATGGGGGAGAGGGGTGAAAGGAAAAGAGGCAGCAAAGATGATGAATGGGTGATTCAACCATGAAACAAGAAAGAAGTCCTGGTTTGATGTATGAACCATTGCTTCTATTTTCTAGACAGGCTTAAGATAGAGTTAGCATTGATTTAGATAGGAATTATTTTCAGGAAGTATCTGGAGGGAATAAGTCAAATAAGTATTTTTTTTGTTTTTGCTAATCTGAATAAGGTCAATAATTCAGGACACCTATTTTACTGTATTTTTCAGCATAGATAGCTTCTACAGAAAGAATTTTCTATAGAATAGAATAATTTCTGTAGAAAGAATTTATAACCACATTTTAATTTTAATAATAATTTGTAATTTGTTTAAAAATGTATTTTTAATTTATAATAATATTTAAACAGTTCTTGTTTTTCATAGTACCTCATACTCATCATTATATCAAGAAAGAAGCAACTATTAAATAGATTTATCCGTTTTCCATAATCATGCAGTAGATATAATTTGCCATTTAATTTTAATATGTACAAGTAATTTATTTTTCCATAACATGCTCGTCAGGAACATGAAGAGCAAAACAATTAAGAACTTGTTTTCAAAAATGATTTGGTTTGATTTATTTTAAAAACTCAAATTTAGTGTTTGTTTTTAAATTAAAAATACTACTTAAAGGTATATATGTATATGTTCTGCAGAATTTTCTGAACAGACTTCTGAAGGTTCTGTGGGTAGGTTTTATGGCAATCTTTAACTTTATTTTTCCCTTCTCCTTTCTTTATTGCAGGTTCATGTTAGGGCTGGTCTTTTCCATGGCACAGAGCTCCTTTGTAAGACTGTTGTAAGCACAGAAATATCTGGGAGAAGTGACCATGTTTGGAATGAAATACTGGAGTTTGAAATTAATGTCTGTGATCTACCAAGAATGGCGAGGCTCTGCTTTGCAGTTTATGCTGTGATGGATAAGGTGAAAACTAAAAAGTCAACCAAGGCAATGAATCCTTCCAAATACCAGACCATTAGGAAAGCAGGGAAAGTGGTAATCATTTCATTTGTTTTTCTTGAGTGTATGTCTGAATGATATTGAGCCGAGTATGCAAAAGTCTGTCATGTCCTCACTTTAGTGGTCAAGAGCACAAATTGAAAAAAATATTTAAAAAGAATGCATGTATGAAGAGTCACATGCTTCAGTACAAAAAACTTCTCATACTTTTCAGCCGCTGAAAAAGACTTGAAATGTTGGTAGCAAGCCAGCTGGCAAGTGATTGTTTAAAGAATTGCATTTTAAAAGGTTAGTTTTCTTCTGAACTTTAGATATAGTGGGTTTTTTTTAAAAGATGAAAAAATGAGCATTTAGGCTTTTATTCAGGGAAATGTATATTTTTTTTAATGTGCCGCTGACAGTATGTGACACCCTTAAAAATAGGTTCTGTTGTCCTCAGTGGGACATGAACATGTACCGAAAGCTGTGTGTGTGTTGAATTGCTTTTCTGAAAGATAGCACTAGTTTAAAACAAAAAAAAATTATTGAAAAATAGAAAAATTTTTGTTGGGGAAAAAAAAAAGCTGCTGCATTGTAACGTTCACTGGAATTTTAGTTTCCATTTTAAAAATTCTTTCCTTTAACAGCACTATCCTGTAGCCTGGGTAAATACCATGATATTTGATTATAAAGGACAACTGAAGAATGGAGAACTCATGCTGCACAGCTGGTCATCGTTTCCTGGTAAAGTTTGAGACTCAGACTTGAATTACTCATGAGGCCAAAGAGGAGTAATAGAAGATAATGGAACATTTAATTTCAGCACATCCAAATTATCTGTCATCTCTTCACTTGTGTTATGTGGATAAGTAGACTAAAGTCTTAGTCTTTTTGTAAAAGTACTATGTTGGAGGAAAGGAGAGAGCCTGTTCGGAAAAAAGTTTCATCTAAAAGTTTCATCCGTTATGGAAGGAAAATCGCATGAAAACAAAGTGTCGTCACTTGTTTTTTAAGATACAGTTTGAGTTTTATTGCTTCTATTTGGGTTCCCTATGCCCTGACAAATAGATAAGCTGTATTATATTTAACAGTATCTGAGTCAGCAAAAAACATGAATTAGAATTTATTATTTTTTTTTTTTTAAGACTTCCTTCACTTCAGATTCAGAGTGCTTGCGAAGATTGCCTGAAATCTAAATGTTACTCTTCATCCATCCACATGAAATACCATTTCAGCCTGGTTATAGTGCTGAAAGAAATCTGACTTTAAAACTCTTTTTGTTTCATACTATTTGATATGGGGGTAGTATATGCTGATTTACGGAAGCTGCGCATCTCATTGAGATTGAAGCTGCATATTAAGGGCTTGACTCAGTATGGGCGTATCCCAGCTTCCCTTTATTTTATATTTCTTTTGGAAAGAGAAAATCACTTTCTCATTGGGTGATAATCCAACATTCCTGAGCACATGAGGCAAGGATCGTTTATGCCAGAAATTCAGTGCATTGTGGAGAAAGTGCTCTGTGTAGCAAAATATGCTTCTGTACATCGTGTACAGAAAGCAATTTCTTACTGCATCATTGCCTTTCAGATTTTTTTTTACTTTTTGTTGATTCCTGTCCTATAATACTAATTGTTCTAATATTTTAGATGAACTTGAAGAAATGTTAAATCCAATGGGAACAGTCCAGACTAACCCTTACACTGAAAATGCAACAGCTTTGCAGATTAGATTTCAAGAATATTCAAAACAACCTATTAGTTACCCTCCCTTCGATAAGGTAAGGTATTACATAAAGAGCAGTCATGTATGCTTGTATGTAAATAGCTGTTCATTCTTTCTTTCTTCATTCTGCCTTTTGCCCTGAATTCCCCACTTCATGCTTTCTAGTTAACATACTGCAGTTGTTTAAACTTGGCCTACGTAACATTGTCAGTCTGCTGACTTCAGGCTCTTCAGATAATGTTTTAAAGATGTATCTATTTTAAAAATTCTGTGCATAGTCTCTTGAAGGTCAGAAGTATAATCAATTTTCAATATCGGTGATCTTACAAAAAAATAAATTTAGCTGCAGGTTTGGAAATCTTCAAACTGTGCTCGCCTGTGATATATATGGATCTGATATTTCTTTGTACAAATGTATTTTAGTCAATCTTTAGACCACTACTTTCTTGTGTGAGCTAAAACCGTTTTCAGGATAAATAGACTCTTAATGCTGTGCAAAAATGGAGTTCTCAAAGTCTGCTTTTGAATTAAATCACCCTAAGTTGCCCTGCATGCTGCTACAGATACAAATAAAAACATCTGTCTAGAGAAAAAGTGTATATTCAGAATACATGATAAAGTGTCGTAGTATAAATGCTAATTAGCAGGTTTATTCACAAATTGACAAATAAAGGAAAACCCAGGAAAAAAGTAATAAAATGAGTGTTAAGGCAACCAGTTATTGATATGTCAAAAACAAGATTTAACTCATACAAAAATTAATCTAAATTCTGTTTGTAGGAAAGCTAGTAACTGCTTAGAGCAAATACTGTTTTCTCATAGGTAATTTGCACCTTTGGTAGGGGAATCAACATTCAAATTTAGAAGCTTTGTCATTTTGATCAAGGAGGAGTTTTTAAGGGATAATTCATCAAAATGAGATCAAAATCCTATCATTAAGATAGTGGGGTTTTGGCGTGGTAGGGACTGTTTTTCCTGTTAGTGTAGTACCTGCACGTGTTCTTGTAGCAAAACAGCATTAGAAATATCTCCAGAGCTAAAACAGTATCAATGAATTACCTTCTTGATCTGGTTAACTAATTTAATCTTCATACTAGACATATTTCAGTTAATTGTATTATTGGTTTATTGGTAATGTTTTGAGGCTTTTGCTCATTACTTTGCACATATTTAAGTTCTAAAGAAAAATAAAAGCTGCTTTTCTCCTAAATATGCAAGTGTAACGTGAAAGTGTATCTTAACTAATCACACTTTTTCTGGTTCTGTTGCTCCTTTTAACTGTACCTGAGATACTAAGTTTTTAGTATGCTGAAATGTTGAGGGTGAGTGTTTTGATACAGACGAGAAATATTACTAAGTTATGTATTGACATTAAAGCGATGTCTGTATGATCTTCTTCCCCATGCCTCTTAGCTTTCTTTTGGTTGTTGCCATTGTTTACTGGGTGACTTTGCCCCCTTCTTAGGCAGGATTTCTGAAGTGCTGTTTATCAGATGAGGGAAATCCCAGTGCATTTTTATAAAATAATTCCAGAGCTGGCAATGAACCATTCATTAAAAGCGTTCATCTTAGAGGAAATGCTTTAAAAAAAAATGTACTTTTAAAGCAGTACTTAATTTTTTCCAGTAACTTTTGCTACTTAAAGCTCCCTAGAGTTAAGAAAATGTTTTGCAATTTCACTGGGAAAATTCAGAGCATAAAGATGTTTTGACTTGATAATTCGTTCCATTTCTGGGGGTAAGCTGAAATTTCTCCCTTGGAGAAGAAAATAAGATTGTCAGAAAGATTGTCTTGATGAAGGTCCTGTTGAATCAGAAAGAAAGAGTAATGTTGCAGCCACTTGGTTTATATCAGCTAAGAATCTGGTTTTGGGGTTTGTTTAGACGAGACCTTGTTTCGTGTATGGCTGGTCGTAACTTTAAGAGCTTTTAGTTGTTTCTGCCGAGACAATAAAGAATCAGATGCCCAGTCTGTATTTTAAAAAACATATTGTGTAAATAGGTGAATTTTTAGATCATAGCATCAATCTACTTGCAGTGTTCAGATGTTTGAGGCTGGCTTAGTAAAAATTCTGTGACACCTGATAAGACGACTGTTACCTAATGTGGGGGCCGTATATTGGGCTGATTAATGATCAGTGCTGCTGGCAGACCAACAGGGGGCTTGTTGTTCAATTGAACAAAGTTGGACTTGCAGAAACTTCCACAGTTTATTTGCAAACAGAGTGACTCTAAAAAGCACAAGGAGGCAAGTATCAAACTCGGTATGAGGACGTTGTGGTTTTGTTTGTGCCTCTTTTCACACCCAGTATGTAAACAGGCTTGGTAGCAAAGTAGTAGATGTTATGCAATATATGAATTTCATATGAAGGAAAAAATAAAACAGGTTAGTACCTTTTAAGGATTTAAACTGCTCAGTATTTAGGCTCTAATTTTTGTAGTAGTCCGTTTCTCACACTGCTTGAGTAAAGATGAAGTGAGCGTGTTGCTGCATCTGTGGCTGGTGATGTATCCCTGGGTGATGGGAGTGACAGACCTCTGAGGAAGAAGAAATGCTGTAGTTACTTAGACTTTTTTTGATTGGTATTTTATTTTATAAATTCTTCTTCAAAGCAGCAACACCTGACGACTGTGGATATGTCTAGCTGGTCAGTTCAGCTGGTCTGATTAGCTTAGGCGATGTGCCATTTTAACACCTCTCTTGCTTGCAGTAGGATACAGGAGTAGAGTTGGAAGAACTGTATTTACGTCTATTTTCAGCTAGCCATTATAATTTACTGCATGAACTGCTAAATTTAACTAAAATCTTCAAACGCCAAAAAAAGGAGCAAGAGGATCCCAGCAAACTCAATACTGAGATTTTGGGGAAGTATTGCTTTGCTGTTTTAAAAGAGGAAAAAAAAGGGGGGCAGTCCTTTTCCCTGCGGGTGACTGTATTTTAACTGGTGCTGTGAGTTTGATGGTAGAACATTAAAGTTAATGTTAAATGAGTTCTCGCTGGGAGCTGATCATTTGTGCTGTTATACCAGAGAAGTTTGTAGACATTGTGTGTAGTAACTTCTCTAACTGAGATCTTTCAGGGGATCTGAGAGCATGGTGTGAGAGAGGAACAAGTTTTGTGGCCTCATACTGAAGAGGGCTGGAAGCGTGGATCTGTAGATAGCAAACGAGACTCATGGAAGCAATGCTCTTGAGAACAGCAGCGGCAGAGATGAACAAACAAAAGATAATTGAGAATTGAGGAATTGATTTGCAGTGCTGGAAAATAAGAAAGAGATGCAATCAGAAACAGAATATGGGGCAGCAGGGAAGAGTAGTTGACCCACAAATAAAGAAGAAGAAAATGGAAGTAATCATGAAGACTGATATTCCTGACCTTGGAAGGTCTATAGGTTAGAAAAAGGACTGTGCTGGCTAGACAGCGGGATGTAGTGAGAGGGAATTGAAAGGTTTGTATTTAGAGGCACACAGAGGAACATGAGCTACTGATGCAGGATATAGGCATGTATGATGGGAGTTGTGGCTGAAACGTGAGGTTGAAAGTATAAAATGGAAGTACTGGTGGTGAGATGGTGCTGAAGGTTAATGAAGCAGGTGACTGAAAAGAAATAGCAAGGGAAAACTTAGGGAGGAAAAAAGCTGTTTGGGTCAAAGTCATTTTGAGAAAGAAGAGAAAGGATTAGTGTACTGTGACGAGTCAGAGGATTTGCATAAAGTCTTCAGAGTAGCGTTAGAGACAGAGGTGCAGCGTGTACGTTACAGAAACTGTCGTTATATGAGATGAGCCTTTCCCAGAGATAAATTTGAGAGGAAGTCCTATTAATAAAGCTGGAGTTCTGGTATTTCTGAATATGACACCTGATGTATTTCTTTATGAAGTTTCCCCAGAGCCAGTAAGAAGTCATATTTTCAACCTGATTTGAGTGAGTCTTTTTTAGAAGTCATGGTCATAGAACATAATTTCAGATCAGCTGGTTGATAAATAAGCAGGGAGGATAGAGAAGGAGTTCTGCGAATTACCTGTTTGTTTCCAGGGGAGGGGATTTTGATAAATACAAGAACTAGCTAGGGATGTCACTGAGGAATTCAGGGAACTGAATGTGATTGAAGGCTATATTTTCTTTACCTTGAGAATCCCGATATCTACATGAATGTTGTTTCCTGAGTGAAGGAAATAAAGTTGGCTGAAATGGACTTCAGACTTAGCTGGGTAACTGCCTTCAAAGGGATACTTGGAAAAAGCAGAAAGCCTCCTCCAAGGGAATGAAAGAGAAGACTAACTGGGAGTGTCTTTGGTTTTGCTTTTTATTTTTTTTTTGGGGAGGTCTTTTTCTCTTGGCAGGGAAGAAATAAAAAGGATAAAAATGAAAAGCATTAAAAGAAAATCTTTAAAAAGTTAAGTCATTAAAAAAGATTGAAAGAAAGTTGTTCTGTAAATCTTGCAGAGGATGATTTTAACTAAAAAAAAAAAAAAAAAGATAGCTAAGTGTTCATAAGCTGCAGAAACAAAACCGTGTGGAGTTTATATGCTGGAGATGGAGACCCTTCTTCCTTCTCTTCACCTCCATCCCTTGTTTTAGGTCAAGGGCTGCAGTGTATTGCTCCGGTGCTCAGATTGCTTGAGTGGATAGCTCTTCTGTAATGCTTATTTGTGAATATCAGATTCTGTTTAACAGTTCTGTGTAACGCAGCACAGAAGCCCATGTTATACCATTGTATACCCAATCTAATAGTAATTCTCTAAAAGATAGCAAAAATTCCTCGACTGCCTCATTTCTATAACATTTATGCCTTCAGTGTAGTCAGGCTTGAATTTAAATCTAATGTATTTAAAAACATCTTTTTGCAGATACTTGAAAAGGCAGCTGAGATTGCAAGAAACAGTGACAATGCTGCAATGGCGGTAAGCAGCTGCTGAAAGCAGTATCTTCAGCATTAGTTCCCTTTTTCTTTTTTCTTTTTTAATCTTCTGCATCAATTTAAGAAGAAATAAGTGTACTACTTGCGTGACTGAAATTCTATTAGCTTGAGTTCCTTTAACCCGCTTTAGGGGACCACCTTAAAATTTAGTTATATATCCATTTCTGCATTGTATTTGGCGCTTCCAAACAGACACCTGTGGCTGTTTCCTTGCAGAAAGCACAATTGTTTTACATACTCTGCGTTACCTGCACGCGAATCTTGATGCTATTGGCTGCACATGCACTTACAGTGGATGGGATGGTGTGCCTGGACGTTTGGCCAGAGTGTACCAGGGCTGCCATGCGGTCTGCGTGTGCGAGTTTACTTCTGTATGTCACAGGAAGAGAGAGACGTTGTCACGGTATAGATTTGGGCCACAGCTAGGATTTCCATTAGTGCTGGAACAGGAAAGCATTCCCAGGTTGCATGAAATATTTGCAGGGACAGTGCTCAATTTTATCAATTTTACAGTGATTTGCTTGATTGTCAGATGTTCCCAAGTAAGCGCTTTCAAAAATGGTCCTTAGTCTCTAACAAGAAGTTTCTTAAATGTGATGATTATATGATCCTCTTGAGGAAATGGGCGGTTCTAACTTGAAGACAAATTTTGAAATGATCTACAACATCTGAAGTTGTTTTCTCCATATAAAAATATGTAAAAATATACAGGAGATTGCGAATGTGGGTTAAGATGGTGAAAGCGCAGCCGAATCAACAGTAATAACTGCATTATATATAAGAATAAAGCAGTTTCTTGAAAAATACATCAGTCACAATACTGAGTGCTTAAAGTGCTCAGGAAGAGGGAAGACTGACTTCTACTTTTGTTATGAACGATTGAGTATATAAATAATTGGAATTCTTACATAGCAGAATGTCAGCTCGGTATTGTGACTTCTGCTTTGAAAGCTTGCCACTTTTGGACACAGGGATCGCATTATTTTCCTGACTTTATTAGTTTGTTTATTTTGATATAGGGCATGTACTTAGTTTACTAAACGACCATTTCAGTTCAACTAGCTGTTTTAAGTCTCGTCTGTCTTGAATAACTTTTTACATGCAAATTTTTACTTAAAAGATTTCAGCCCAGTGCACGGCTCAGGCACTCGTCCGTCCTGGAAGGAGCTAAAGCTAAGTTGTGCGTGCAGCAGTGTTGCCAGGTGTCAGCTGGGAAACCTGTGCAGTATGTCATTTTAATGAGCTGTGTGTTGCTGCTGTCAGTCGTAACTGACTTGCGCTACCATTTCCCCTGAACTTTCCTTTGTGTGTGTGGTTTCACCTCCTCGCCCCCCCAAAACAAAGCTCTTTGGTCTACCTCTTAAAAATTGTTTAGAAATTCCTTGGGCTCTGTGAAGATAAAAGTGGCTTCAGTGTTTAAAGATTGCCATGTCTTTTCCAAAATATGCATCGAAACTAAATTGATTTGGTGCAACTACTAAATCATTATCCAAAAGCAGCAGTTTCTGTTATGTTTCATTGCTTTATGGAGTTCTAATGTTGATGCTATCCCTGGCTGGGGGCAGCGGGTAGCAACTAAGCCAGCGTGATTCTTGAAATGAAAATTCATTCATGTAATCTGAGTTATAGAATCAGTGCTACTGTTAATGTTTCAGAGGCAAAATGGACCCAAACAATGTCTGGAAAAGACAAGTCTGGATTAGAAGACAAAAAAATGTGTTTGTACACTTAGCAAATATACTTCCGTTTGGTTATTGCTTGAAAAAAAAATTCTCATTTGAAAACCAAAAGGAGAAAGTAAAGTATATGCATCCTAAATAAGACTTCTCCATGTTAGAGCTGGAAAACAGAAATATTGCCATCTAGTGTCACAAACTCTACAGTTTAGTTACTTTTTCAGAAACTTCTGTACGCTGAATTTTGAATCTGACTGTTCTAGTTGCATTTGTTAGAACTAGCTTCAGAAATCTAAGATATGACAGAAGGGCATAATAGGTGTTCCCCTGTGTTCATGAGTTTTATCTGATGTTTTTCCTGGTATTTCTAGCATTTGAGGAAAAATATTAGAATTTTACCAAGTGTATCAAAACATTACACATTTCTCATTTTCTAGGGTCGAGGTGGTAAGAAGTTTTATGTTGTGCTAAAAGATATAATGGAAAGAGATCCCTTATCTCAGCTCTGTGAAAATGAAATGGATCTTATTTGGACTTTGCGATATGACTGTCGCGAAAATTTTCCACAATCATTGCCAAAACTGCTGCTTTCTTTGAAGTGGAACAAACTTGAAGACGTTGCTCAGGTAAGGGAAATGATACAAAGAGAAATGCTGCAGTCAAATCACTAGTCTAAGTCACGAGTAAATTGAGGGGGATGACAGGTATCTGTTTTGTTTTGTGTATTTTTTTTTTTCCCCCACTAAAGCATAGAAATTTTGAAATGGTGCAATGACCTTTAGTTTATAAAACTGTGTACTACTTCTCTGGTTTGGACACATAAGCAAGAGCTTACTTAAAAAAAAGCCCAAAATACATTTCAGAGGTCCCCTGAATGATGAGAAAAGCATGCAAATTGCTTCTACAGGCTAATTTGAATACCCACTGAATTGGACAGACAGGAAGTACCAGTCTCGGGCTACAGCAAGGTCGTAAGACTGTCACACTGTTTTGGTAAATTCCTCTCCCCAGATGGGGGTACTCTGTCCAGGCTGTGAAATAGGCTTTGACCTTACCAAAACTTAATCTTATGCTCAGCTTTGATCTTAAATGCAACAAATTTAAGATCTGATCAGGATCTGAAATGAAGCTTTTTATTCAAAATGTTCAACTGCTCAAAGGCCATGAAAATCTCAGTCTTGAACTGCTTCATTAAACCTCATTGAAGCAGACACATGATTTTTCAAAAAGGTACAATGCACACTAATGGGACAAAATACCTTATTCTCCTCAGGAAGGCAGTCTGACCAAGTAGGTTCCCTTTGAAGGATCAGTTTAAGTAATTAAGGACTTAAAAATTTGTGTTAATAGTGATACAAGATTACATTTTCCGTGAAGCTGTCTTGGGTTTGCTACATAGCCATGCAAGTTTATTTCGTTCTACTGCACAGAAGTTGATGCGTCTGCTTTTTTTCCGCATTGACCCAAACAGAATCCAGATCTTGTAATCTTTTTGGTGGAATAGGTGGAAACTTGAAACATGAAAAATTATATGAAGTTTGTGAGACTGCTCCTCCTCAATAGACTGACTTAAAAGCAGCAAAGTAAGATTCCTATGTTTGTATTGGAGCTTTTTAGTCCAATTGTGTACACAGCAGGTTGAGCAAAACTTTAAAAATCTGGATGCTGTTGACAAAACGGTACTGACTGTAGTGGTGAATCCAGGCATTGTAGGTCATCTGCTTACTCTGACACAACTGCACGTTTGAATGACACACAAGTTCATGCAGATTGTTACACTGAGATAATACTTGTTTTCTCTTGTGAAAGTAATTTGGGCATTTTATAACTTGCGCTGATTATGTGAAAGGAAAGCTGTGTTTTAAAGTTTGAACTAAAAAGACTGTGAAAGTCTAAGATTCATAATATAAATCTATATTCTAGATTAGTATTCTGACCTTTGCCTCTTACAAGCTAACCATTTTTTGAAGAAAAGGAAACCGCTCCATGAAAACTGACTTCCATCTATTCATCAGGTGATCTTTGTGATTATCCAGTCAGACAGACTCGTAGTATGCCTCCAGGATAGAGGCTATTTTCTGCTACATCCTTCCCACCAGTTAGAAATATATACTCTGTGAACATAGAAAATAAGGAGATTTTCATCCTAGCTCAGTGTCTGTGCATTGAGCCCTACTGTCTCAAAACGCAGCACCCACATGTTCCTCACTCACTCGCGTGAATTCACTTGCAAGAATTCTCTTGTTCTTTATTAATTCCGATATGTGCTTCTGGATTTATTATTAAAAGTTATCTAGACATATGAGTTGTAAAAACATAAGCAGGTGTTTGTCTACTCTTGGAAAAAATGTAAAAGGTGTTTGGATCACTTACTGGGGGCTTTGAAGTATGGCCTTTAGTAATAAGGATTTGAAAAGTGATTGAAGTATAGATATTAGTTTATAGCTCAAAAGATGTTTTAAATTTGGGAATATAGAAATAGATAAAATGGCATAAAGGATTTTATTTAAATTAATGGCTGAAAATAGATAGCCATCTTGCTTATTACTGTGTACTCTCTGGAAGTAAAGTTGTATTTCTGTTTGCTTATGTAAAGACAGTAGTGTGTGTGTTTGAATACAATTTATGGCAGCAGTAATAGTAATCCGAATTTTGAAACGTTCCAGATGCTCCTGGAGCACTTAGACATTTAAGTACTTCCACAAACTTATTCTTTCTGGTGCAGGAAGACAGCAATTTTTATGGATTCCAGAATCAGTGGGACTTGTACTTTATCCCTTGTTAATGTTAAATATATAGAGTACTAGCTATATGTTGTAATACTTGTGCTACAACAACAACATACATGCCTTAGTACTGGAAGTTCTGGTAATGCCTATTGTTCACAACAAGCATATTAGTGAAAGTCTGATACTTAGGGCAAAAAGTTTTAAAAACAGCTGTTGTCGAGAAAAATGAGGAAAATTAACTACATTTCTATTTCTATGATTACAGCTCCAATGTAATATTCTTTTTAAAAAAAGAAATGGAAATTGATGGTAGAATGTCTTTAATCTGTTAGTTCAGTGGTCCATAAAGCTATGTGCAATGGATCAAAGCAGCCTTCTTGTATTATTTACCACATATATTTCATGCAATCTCGTATTGTATTGCAATGTTATAATGGAAAAGTTGCACTGGATGAATTCCCATTGTGTTTGCCCTTATTCTTTTCGCTCATCCCGGTGGTAGGATGGCAGAACCTGTTGGCAGAGTGCGCAAGCAGTGCACTAAACTAAACCAGTGCAGTAACTAAACAGTGCACTAACTAGACCTTTATTTATAAAAAAAAAAAAAAAAATCCACTTCTGCAGAAGTGGCGCCGTCATTAGTCATTAAGTAGATCTGGAGGAAGGACAGCTGATCAGAGAGCTGACTTTTGAAATGTTTGAAGTAATGGGAATAAAAATTCTAACCTATGCTTAGCTGCATTGTATTCTATCTTATAGTAAACTTGTCTTGTTGGGGAAGAAATCATGGCTTTTGGTTGTGTTTTGAGGGTTTTTTTGGCAAAAAAATAAACTGATATGTAAAGGTAAATCAGACTTCAGCTTTCTTTAAATCTCTGGCTCACGGCCGAGGATTGAATTTATCGGAGCCGCAAACCGTGCGAGGAGAATGAGGCAGTAATTCACGCGTGTAGGATTTTTAACACGTCTGATATGGCAGATAACTTTTAAAAACTTGAAACGCGTATTAGCAGGTATTTTGAAATGTAGAATTTCTTTATAAACTAGATGCATTTGGGAGGTCTGAGGAGCTGAGGGCATGTTATGCTGCGTGTTTCTTCAGTCCAAATGACTAAGCGAGCGTAGCTGATATCCTTTGCCCTGCGCGCCCGAGCCGCTGGCGGCCCAGCGGGGACGTGAGGCTGGTGGGGCTGCGCTTCCCTCCTCGGAGCGGTCCCAGGCAAGAATGTAAACAGAGCGCTCTGGATTTGGGGAATTTTCTTGGCAGTTTCACAGGTCGTTGAGGTCTTGCTTCCTCTAAGGTCATATCGCTTAACGTTTTCTCATTTTAATAACCTCTGAAATAATTTTAACAGTTGAGTGCTGGTGCAGTCCAGATGAGGTTTGTGCCTTCGGATATGCTTCCCGATGAACGTTTGTGCTGTAGACTGTGACTTTCAAAATTCATCACTTAATCTGGGGCATGTAATGTCACTTCAACTCATCTTTTCAGATTGTATCAGTTCTCGGTTAATTTTATTCATCCATCGTTAACAGAATGTTTCCGTATTTTTTTTTTCTGCGCCTTTTTTTCCACGTAGGTTGTCTGGGAGTCCAGATGCACTCCTCCTGAAGTTTCTGACAGGCATAGTTGCTGTTTCAATTTTCAGCATCTGGTTTATGGTATTGACTATCAGGAGTGTTTTGGTTTTAGATTTGTAGTGCTAGTATCCCTGATACTGAAGTGCTGATGGCTGTAGTGCTCCTTGACATAAGGACTGGTGTCACTGATCCTACCAGGCTACGGACTGAACAGATTTTGAGTACGTGTTTTTATGGAAGAGGACACCTATGTATTTTATTTTACATCCCTATGAATCTTGCCTGTGTTGCTACAACAAGTATTTGCGCATGAAAGCAGTTGCACTGATTCTTTTCTCCCTTTCTGGAAGTGTAGCATGGCCCCTGGATTTGTGTTTTGATTGATTTGTTTCTTTATCTTGTCTTCTGAAGTTCATAAAACTGCACAGATTAACCAGTTCAGAATTTGGTCCCTTTGGTGTTTAAGTGATGTTCTGAACCTGCTTATTAAATGTAGATTAATGTTATGAACTCATACATGGTTCTCCTACTTGAACTGGAAGTGTTAATTTTACTGTGATATATAGCAGAAAATGGAGATTTTTCACTGTGGGTGTAAAAGGGCTACTAACTTGGGAGAAAACAAAAAGGTCATGTTAATCATTCAGATTTTATAATTTGTCATTGAACTTTGAAATACCTGTGTTATTGAATTTGTAGGAAAGGAGATTTTTGGCTTGAGTTATGACTATAGTTGCTAAAGAGAAGAAACATCTTATGCTGTTGCTACTACATTTACGTGTTTAGGCTTCTTTAGTTCCACTATTAGTGTACTGCTTTCAGTCATGAGACTATATGCATATTGTTAAATATGCATATATGTTTATATGTGTATGTATACATATGCACGTGTGCACACACATAAAAATGTGTATATATATCTCCTCAGTGGGTAGCTTCATAAATAACTTAGTAAAAAAAAAAAAAAATTTCTTGTGAGACTTCTACATATTTTTATTCTTAGTAGTCTGAAACAAATATATTAGTGTTGTAATTTTTTCCAGCGCGTCACTATCTTGAATGTTAGGAATTTTTTTCGTATCTAACTTGAATCATCCTTTCTGTAATTTAACCCTGTAACTATTCAGAGTGCACGTGGGAAAAGGCTATACCGGTTAAGGTGGCTACGAATTTTTGGTAAAGATTTTGCTAAACAAAAACCTTTTAAAAATGTTTTTATGAAAACCTTTTGACATTACCAAAATATTTATGTATTTATGAAAGTTTTAACAAAATATTCCTTAAATTTTATTGAAACCGTTTATAAAACATTCACGTCTGAGGTTACCTAACTTTTGTTTACTATGCATCATGACTATGTATGAAGAAACAGATTTTTCTAACTAAATGTAAAGAAGACCCGTTGCCAAAAAATAATCTGAATAATTTTAAAGGGCAAGAAACTTGATCGGAAATGGGACTGTTTTCCCAGAATTATTTTTCTCTTTTTTGTAGTCGTCGTGTCAGTCCATAATCTCCTTCTGTTAATATGAATATTTTATCCAAAGGCAGTTGTGCTTTCTGTTTTCTTAAATAGTTACTTTATGTGTAGCCTAATAGTTAGTTATTTTTTTTAACCAGCTTCAGGCTCTTCTTCAGATATGGCCCAAGCTGCTGCCTAGAGAAGCATTAGAGTTGCTGGATTTCAATTACCCAGACCAGTATGTGAGAGAATACGCAGTGGGCTGCTTAAAGCAAATGAGGTGAGTATGTTGTATTAGCTCAGCATTCAAGAATTATTAGGGGGAAAACTTAATTCTGTTTGTCAACAGGAGGGGAAAAAAAAAAAAAAAAAAGGACCCAAAGAAGAAAGATTTCAACAGGCTGCCTGCCCCGTGCAGGTGCCCGAGTAAAGCATCCTTTCTAGATAGGCAAAATGGCAGCCAAATCAAACCTCCTTATTCGGCTGTTGCATCCTGCTCAGAGCGCACAGCCAGGGTACGGTTTCCCGGAGAGGGGATACGTGTTCTTGTCTGTCTTGGACAAAGGGAAAGCAAGACAGTGTGTGAACTTTAGAGACAAAACGTTACAAGAGTCAAATACTGTAAGAACTGCCATCCAACCACCTCTCTCTCACTCTCAGGTATTATCTGCTTTGTTTAATAGAAGTGTAAGCTGCAACTTATGATTTAAAGAAGAAAAAAAAAGGAGAGAACTGCGGAGTTGTTTGTTCTTCAGGGTAGCCTTTGCTATCTGGAGTTCTTCCTTTATCATATATAATTTTTCTGTTCATTACAACTTGGGGCAAGATTTGTTTAACCTTATCATTTGCAGCATTGCTGCTTACTTCCTGTCCTTGAATTCTATGTTCTCTATGGTGAATATTTTAATGATTAATTTTTTAATGGTCAAGGCTAGATTTTTTGGAAAAAAAAATATTTTGACTTCTTTCAAGAGTAAACAAGTAATTTAGCTGTTGGGCTAGCCTAATAACGTTGAATTGTTACATCTGGAATTAGTATTCTTAGTTCTGTCTCTGAAGCAAAATTATGTTCAACTGAGTATCAGAAAATCAATTTCCAAATTCTTTAAAAAGTTCACTGAAGGCAGCTGGTAAAAACTGCAACCTAAAGGTGATCTTTTCAGGATCCTTTCCTTTTAGGTTTGATGGCCGTAAGGCTCTGCCAGAGGTGTGACTGACTGATTAATCAGTCTGCCTGGCAATTTTGCCCTCAACTGTGCATTATTTTTCTTTTCCATGTGCCTGAAAGATTGGGACACTTTTGCTATTGAAACTAGGTCTGTTATAGTTGGATTTGTCATATGCCTGTGGATTTCTAGAATGTTGTTGATCTAAATCATCTGTTAATAACTGGTTTTCTGTGCCTCGTTCTAGTGATGAAGAGCTCTCTCAGTATCTTCTTCAACTTGTGCAAGTCCTGAAATATGAACCTTTTCTTGATTGCGCTCTCTCCAGATTTCTACTAGAGAGAGCGCTTGCTAATAGGAGAATAGGGCAGATGTTGTTTTGGCATCTAAGGTAAGACTATCTCCCTTCCGTCTTTCTAAACCTGTCATGCCTTGGAGTTGTAGTAGGCAGATCAAGAGGTTTCTTTCAAATATGCTTTCTTGAGGATTTTTGTGAATGAGCTGTTTTGCCCATAAGAAACAACTGTAGTCCTCTGCCTTGTGTTTCTTTACCTGTGGCATTTATAGATCAAAGCAACCTTATAGTTAAAAATATACTGCTGTATTTTCTCATCCATTGTCTGAGGGAAGCGTTCCAAACTGTCTTCAGCCCTACCTAACTGGTGAATTAGATATATATATTTAATCTTTATGTTTTTGCTGTGCTTGCAGTAGAAATACAATATTTATACCTCACAGCTAGGGGAAAAAATTGCTTTGAAAGACTAACAGAAAATCAAAGCAGTTCAGTGTGTAGTTGCCTCTTTTTGAGGACCAGTTCCATGAATGGCAGTTACCTTGTGGCATGGGCTATAGCCTGATTCTGTATGCAAAATGCAACTTGTTTATTTTAATATTTCTGAATTAAAAGAGCAAGTACTATACACAAATGTGTTGGACGATAATTAGCTTTGCTCTAATGTCCGTGGGTTTGTTTCAAAGTGTTCTTCCTCAGGGAAATTTTTTTTCCTCTTATGAATGTTCGAGATTACGCAGTTTAACCCAGCCCTGCCTCCCAATATCATCATCTATAGCTTATGAGTACTACTTTCTGCAGTAAAAAGGGTTTCTGAAAACAAATATCCAATCACTCTCTTACACTATTGCCTTTAGAACGATCCTAGACCTTGAAACAGGTGGCATGCATTGAAATTAACCCTTTCTCATGAGAATTCAGTCCATAAGTTTTACGTTATTTCTTATAAAATAAAATGGTGGATTTAATCTAACTGTCAGTGAGGTGTTTTGTTTTTAGGTATATTTTTTTCTATGTTAATGGCTTGTAAAATTCTAATCTGTAAAATGATGTGGTATGTCTTGGTAAATGAGCAACTTTTCTCCTGTGATGTTCCCTTATAGGTCAGAGATTCATATACCTGCTGTTTCAGTGCAGTTCGGTTTGATACTTGAAGCTTACTGCCGAGGAAGTGTTGCACACATGAAAGTGCTTGCTAAACAGGTATAGACTCCTCATCGCCTTTCGATCTTGACTTACTCTAGTTTACCCCTGAAATAATTATTCCATTGCTCCTATGGGGCGTATCAGTTACTTTGACAAAGTACATCTCTTGAGGGGGATAAAAAGAAAAGAGAGAAAGAAATGGATGTAGTAATGGAGCAGCCCTCCCTAGGACGGAAAGCAACCAGCTCTGTTGGGCCTCAGAGATCAGGAGCTATGGTGTTCTCAGGTATGCGAGATACTTTCAACAGCATGCATATACTCTCAGCAGGGCAGTAGACTATCTGGGTTATTAACGGAAGAAGCGCCCTTAGAACTTCTTTTTATTTTTATTTTTTTCCAGCAAGAGCAGCTTGTTTAATAGAAGCTATTGCTTTTCTATGTGAACTTTATATAGATGACTCCAGGATTACTTCCTACAGCTTTGGCTTTTGTTAAAAACTAGTGATGCAAGCAAACTGAAGTTGTGCTGTAATGTAGCATTCCCTGGAAATAAAGCTGTTGAAGTAAACCAAATACTCGTTTTAGTGCTAATATAGATGTACCAGTAAAAAAAAGAGGAGAATGGTTTACCTTTTAAATACACTTAATTGCATAAGTGTATTGGCAGGTCATTAGCAGAGACGCTCACAACTCTTGTTCTGAAGGCTCTAATGTAATTTTAACAGTTAATTTGGATTTCTGCCATAAAAATCTGTGAAAAAAGATCTCTTTTGAAATAATATATTTGCTATATCAGCCAAAGTAAAGCCACAAAAAACCCAACCCAGTAGATGTTGTCTGACAGTTGTTGTTTATTACAGTGTTGATGCTGTCTACATTGAAACTATGCCTCAAGGGGCAAATGAGACAGGAATGTACCATTGTACTCTTTACTACTGCAGTTCCCCGAGCACCGAGAAGACTGTCTCTTACAAAGTGTTCTTAGTATTGTCAAAATCATAAAACGATGAGGTGATGAAATGCTTTAAGCAATAGACCTGAGGTCACTAAAGTTTTTGTGCACTTCACAGGAAACAAATGTCACTAGAATCAAAGAAGGGGCAAAAAAATTCCCAACTGTGCAAACACGGAAGAAATTCAAAGTAGAAATACTTCAAAAAGTTCCTGTTTGTACAGCACAGGTTCCATTTTGTTCCCTTGTCAGCGATGTTTGTACAGCTCCTAGAATAGTGGAAAAGCAGAGCGCGTTTGGTTTGGACAGATGGCTGACCTGGCAGGTCTCCACTGCCTCAGTTTTATAATCAAACTGCATACAATTTCCCCAGCATCCTGCCTCGCAGGGTTCAGTCTATCTGTGAAAGCGGTAAGTTTTGACTCAGCACCTTACAAGTTAGACTGAAGCTTCCTTGTATAGAAATCAATTTTTGCAAGTATTACGTTGATACTGTTTGATAGAGAATATGCGTATTACTGAGCAAGTTAACTGTGGCTCTTTTAAATATGGTTTATGGTTATAATAAGTATTTTCTAATCGGCTAACAACTGGCTTTGGAGGTAGATGCAGTGTAGAAGTGCTGTTTGTTGTATGCGCAGTAGGTGTGTTGCCAAGGGGCTTTGCTGTGTTAATGTTATGTACGCTTATGTCTCTGCAGCTAGTTTACTTATTTTCTTAGATGGTACATACCAGTAAAAAGCTTGCTAAAACAGGAGAAGGGAAAAAAGGGGTTAAACCTACCTGTATTGCCATAAATAATTGCCTTATTGCACATTGTAAAACTGTTGTTTAGATAGTACGTTATGATTAGGAATAACCTAATTGATTAGAGTATTTAAGCTTATACTCAACTTCAACAGGATTTTAATAAACTAATGTTTAAGAATCTGCTCTGCAAAACTTAAGCATGTGAAGTTATGCATCTGCAGTTAGTCATATAGCTGTATCGGACTGCGTGCAGTTGGCCACGTTTAGAACTGAGCGCGTACAGTGAAATATCTGCATCCATGCCTCGCTTCGAATAATGTTTGGTTTTGTAAAGGTATGAAGCGCTCAGTATATCTGACTTCAGTATGAGTGGGGAGACCCCTATGTTATGTTCTATTGAACGTGTGTGTGGCCGAAAAGGGCTTTATATTTTGAAAAAGGAACTTGCATGAATGTATCATACATTAACGTATCTCATACCTTTTTTGAAAATATTAAGTCCCACTTTCAAAAGTGACGTGAAGTTTACTGGATTTTTATTTGTCTTTATTACTTAAAAATATAGGACTTCTGGGATGTGTATGCTTTAGAAAAGGTTATTCTTTTTTTTATTTTTTATTTTTTTGAAGTGCAGTCTCCATTGCCATCTATTGTTACTGTTTTAAAAGAAGCTATTATTTAATTCTGTGGTTAACAACTTCTAAGATTTGTTTTGAAATGGGATTCTGTGTATCATATGGTGTGAGATAACTTTTAAAAATAAAATATCTCTTTCAGGTGGAAGCCCTTAATAAAATGAAGACTTTAAATAGTCTAATTAAGCTGAATGCCATGAAACAAAGCAAAGCAAAAGGAAAAGATGCAATGCACACGTGTTTGAAACAAAATGCTTACAGGGAAGCACTTTCTGACCTCCAGTCTCCTCTGAATCCTTCTGTTATACTTTCAGAACTGCAGTAAGTTAAGAATGAGTGAATGAATACAGTTCCCTGTAGATTTTGTAGGGAGACAGTAAAGCAGAAGGTGTATGTGCTCTAACTTCTTTTGATGATGCTGTTCAGCAGATGTGATAACAAGATAAATTCTCTAGGGTGAGAGGTGGTCTGTTGGGAATCTTCCTAGCTGTCTGAGCAAATCTTCACCTTCTTGAGGTTAAGATATCAGTTAAGTTTGAAGATTTTTGCAATTCACCTTACACTTCACCTCGGTATTATCTGACCTCAGAGATAATCATATTTAAATATAAGCCTAAAGTGAATTAGGCTGTGTTCTTCTATTTACCACAATAAGGACAAAAACCATTAAAACATTTAACAGGACTTAAATATAAACATAAAACTCCTTTTAAAAAAAAAAAAAAGGTGAGAGAATATAAAAGGAAGACTACATATTTTCTCTGAAAATATGGGTGTTTAGTTTAGACATAAGACATATGTATGCCAATCATGGTATCTAATTCATTTGGTATATAACAAATATGTTCATTATTTGGTAAGCACTGATAGTATAGTAGTGCAGTGAAAGCACAGATAACATTTAAGTATTTCCGGACTGGAAGCCTACGTTTTCTATCCTGCCTTGAACAATATTTAACTTATTCAATTGAATTATTTTTATTTGACTAAAATGTTTGTTGTATTTTCTTCTAGTGTTGAGAAGTGTAAGTACATGGATTCTAAAATGAAGCCTCTGTGGATAGTATACAACAATAAGATGTTTGGGGGAGATCTTGTAGGGATCATCTTTAAAAATGGTGATGGTAAGAAATGTCAACAATTTAACATTTTTGCTTCTCCTCCTTTGTTCCCACACTTGCGCTTTAGCTGTGTTGCTCTATGTTGTCATAATTTAAGCATGTATTACGCTAGCACTGATAAGCAAATTAACCATTTTCTACTGATTGAGTTGCAAAGCCTAAATTTTATCAGTCAGGATGACATAATTATTGTTAACAGCACTTTAAACTTCAGGACTGACAAGGGATTTTAGATAGCTGTTTCCCAAAGCCTTAGATACAGTAGGCAGTTTGTCTACAATACGATCAGAAATTGAAGTAGCATTTTCGACTTTCCGTTACAGATCTCCGGCAGGACATGTTGACGCTCCAAATACTGCGTTTGATGGATGTACTTTGGAAAGAAGCCGGTCTGGATCTCCGGTAAGGTTCTCTTCAGGGTGGGTTTATTTGAATGAAGAGTCCACTTCTACCAGTAAAGCTTTTCTGTTTTTAAATCTCTTCCTAGCTTTCCCCTTTCTAAACTTCTATAACAATGCCTGAAGTTTTCAGTTGTCATAGCCAAGGTAAACAGGCTATAGAAAACAGTCACCGTAACTAGTCAGATGGCTTCTCTTTTCAGTGCATTCTCCAAATGGCCCACATTACAAAATAATTTAGCCTTGGAAAGAAATAGTGGAAGATGTGAAGTGAAACATTAGGGTTTTTATTTGTCATACAAACAGGATGTTTGTCCTGGTGCACCATATCTCTTAATAGCGCGTGTAAGTTGCCGTGTTGATTATAAACTGCACTGTTCTTTTTAGTATACTGTTTTCATCCTTTGAAAGTCCACCAGATAAAAAGCCTTTTATGAGGTAAAGAAATAATCCCTGACTTAAGGGTCCAGCAGGCAGGCTTTATGACTTTTGTTGTTATTGTGAGTGACCTTTCCAAAATGAGGTGTTTTTATAAACTCCTCATGTAGCAAACTTATCTACTAACTGCCTTTGATTTTCTACCATAAACATAGGTGGGGATTCGCTTAGCGATCAAGGGAATTACAACCCTTCTTAAGTTCTAATACACATATGCAGATGAGGTGCAAACATAACACATCTGCCAGCCAGTGAAGAGGTCTTTGTGTTAATTAAAAAAAAAAAAAAAAAAAAGTCTGTTTGGTGACTGAGTGCTACTGCCCAAAAGTTAGATCGAGATTCCCTGACAGGTAGTTATAACAGGCAAAAACCTCTCAAGAAATTAGGTAGTTTTAAGTATTGGTAAGTTTGGGGGGGGAGGGGGAGATACTGAGACTGGAACTAGGCTAGGACTGGGAGATTTGAGATTCGTTATCATAGAATGTCAGTGCCAGATTGAGAATTACCAGATTTGTGGAAGACCCAGACAATCAGATTCTTCTTTTTTTTTTTTTCCTTTCATCTTTTTTTTGTTTAAAAAAAAAAAAAAAAGGTTTGTGCTGCCATGGCCACAAATGAATGTGTTCCTATTTAAATAAATTTTATGCTTGCTATCTATTTCTAACAAAATTTAACAGAGGAATGTCAGTCTTCTACATATTAAATACATAAAGGCTTTATGAAAGCGAGGGGCTTGGAAGAGGAGGAGAGAGAGCTGTTTATGCTCCTGTTCTAGGGCGGCTGCTGCAGCAAGAGGCTTTATGAAGGAGATTATGATGGTCAGGAATAGTCAGCATGGATTTACCAAGGGTATATCATGCCTGACTAGCCTGATTGCCTTCTAGGATAAAATGACTGGGTTTGAGGGAGGGGAAGAGTAGCAGATGTCCTTACCTTGACTTCGGCAAGGTTTTTATCTCCACCTCCCAAAATATGCCTGCCACCTGATAATTTCTTTAATTACTGCAGGTTTCTGTATTCCATGCTTCTATATTAGCATAACTATATTTTCTTTTCCTTTTCTAGTAATTCTTAGCTTTTTACCTTTTTCATCACTGCTGAAATTTGACTTGGTCAAATAGGTGCATGTTTGTGACAGTCTTCAAATTGTGCTTTTAGATTCCAGTCAAATGAATGTATTTCTCAACCAGCCGTTATAAAGTCAGTGGAGAATAAGTACGATTTCCTAGCGTATTTAGTACTTAAGAGACTTTTATGGTATTGAAGTGATACATATGGGGGGGGTGGTTTCTTCCATTTCTGCTTCCTCAGAGCAGGTTGTGTGAGGATGGAAACTCATCGTTTAAGTATTGTCTTAAGGCAGAAGTACTCAGCTCAGTAAGAATCTTCTCATTTGTGCTGCTTCTTCTGCAAAACCAGTTCTTTCAAAATGAAGTGGCTAACTTTTCCAAGGTATTGCAAGCATGGTAATTTCCAGTATTTGTGAACTTGTTAGATAATAATGAGGAAGGCTGTGAGATTTTCATTTGTTTATTATTTCCTTTGTTAAGCTTCTAGAACTATGTGTTCTCCCATGTAAGCTAATCATTTTTTAATCAGTTACGCAAATAGCAGTGAACTCAACTACTTCTTGTAATAGCTGCTTTTTCTTTTTCCTTTGAGTATTCCTCATATTTCTGTTTACAGCAAAAGACCTACAGTCAATGTGAGCATCTTCAGTGTATATCTTGAAGTCCCACTTAGCATTCTTTCCTCGATAAAACACTACTTGGATATCAGAAAACACTTTTCAGGTAGAAATAGCTTTCTGTGTTCCAAAGTCTCTTGCAAAACAGCTTTCTTATCTTCATACTACTTAACTTCATTGTTCAACACTGTAATACCCACCTCTACTAAGGAGGGAGCTTTTCTAGCCAAATCCACGCACAATTTTTAGCTAATAGAACTCTCAAGTTCTAATATCTCTTTAGAAATATAGTTCTAAAGAAGATACTGAACGTCACGTTTTTTAATCAACCATTTATAGGCTATAAAGTCCGTCTTGTGTGCCTGCGAAACACAGAGCTCTAATCCTTTGCGCTTTGTGATTTTAAACTACTATTTATAAGGCTAGCAGTACTCATTTAAATGTTTTTTGAGACGTTTCAGTTGGATTCTTGGAACTTATCTTTTCAAATTTGGTTGTTGAAGCATAATAGTGTTAGTTTCACAAGGCACATAACATCAGCCCACGCAGATAAGTAAAATTATAAACTGGTTATCCATCAGGAAAAAATGCTACTTGCAGAAAGATTCCTTTTATTGAAGTATGGAATGTAGTAAGAATGTGAATAATAAATTGCTTCTGGAAGTGTACATTTGCTAGGAGGTAGCTGAGTGTGTGCTTAGTTGCAGTAAAGTTGAACACTGAGGGAACTTAAATAATTTATATCATTATAAATAGACTGTGCAAAGACCGATCCAGCAGTTAGGGGCAAGGACAACCTCTGGCAGCCATGGAATCCCAGATGAGGCATTTTTTTGGTTGCTGCCTTCCCAAAAGCAGAGTTTGTGGTTCCAGCCAGGCCCACACACTGTGCCTGGCAAACAAGAATGATGTTTGGAAGTCATTACGTATACTTTCCCTGACTAATGCTTTGCTTTTTTTTTTTTTTTTTAAAACTTAGCAAAGGAAACCCTATTGTGTCCAAGGATTTTCCTTAAACTCTCTCAAGCACAAAAAAGGAGAAAGAGGCAGTTCCTAATGAGAACTGAACTTCTATAACTGGCCTCTTTTATTTCCTTACTTAACTGGGAGCATCTTCCTTTCATTCATCTTTTCTTAGTTATGATTGTAAAATAAAACTCGGGGATTGAGGCAGGACTACAGTTCTGCATCTGTCAAAGAGATAGCAACCAGGCAGTTGCCAAGGAATGGCTCTGAAATAGTCCATATTGGCAAGAGAGTTGGGCAAAAAGCACTTCCCAGCACCTGAAGTGTAAGGATGCAGCTAGGAGGGATAAGACTGGGGTCTCTAATCCAAGTTTGCAGTCTACATGCATCTAAAGAAGAATTGACTCCAAAAGCTCTGAGCTGCTGCAGCTGAGTTGCACTGTTCATTAGTCTGAGCTTGCTGCCTTGCTTCTCTTTGCTTGGGAAAGAGACATCAGTGTCAGGAGAAACAGTAGTGTCAGATAGTTCTGTTTTCCTGAAAAATACAACTTCACCTATCCATTCCAAAGAGCAGAGTCTTGTCTTCTTGCCATGGACCATCCTTTGAGGCTTGGATTTTGCTGAAGCTGTTGTTTCCCTTTTTTCCTTTTGTGGATGCATAATGGGTTCTCTGCCTTTCAACTTTTCTCTCCTACAGAGTGTTTGATAACCCCATTCCGTAGAAGCAGGACTTCTAACTTGTTTCACTGCTGTAAGAGGAGAAACACTTGCTGTTTGTCTCAGCCTCTTCTCTGAGAAGTTACTCCGATCAGGAATATCTTGCTGCAGTAGATTTTGCCGCTTCTATGAAGCATGGATCAAATAGGAACTAATATGCTGCCCTCAGGGAGTCTGGGATAGGATCAGTTTCCTTATAACTGCACTACAGTCCACAGCTGGTTTTTTGGTAGTAATTTTAAATGAAACCTTAGCCCAGTTTGTCTTCTGTTAGGATCCTAAAGCCAGCACAGTATTGCCAGTGGCACTAAGTATGTATTGTTCTTGAGCTCTGCAAAGCCTAAGAGGGAGGGAGGAAATTTTTTTTTTTTTTCAGTGGTCAACTAATTTGTCTCGTGAATAAGTTGACCTCTTTCACGCGTGGTGTGTTCTGTTGTGTAGATTCCTGCGTGCACGTTCTGGCTGGATATTGGAACGAGACCAGGGCTCATATCAGAGAAGTGATTGTGTGCAGGAGGGAGCAAGAGCATGCTCCAGTAGGTCCTTCATCCTGAGCTCTCACTGGATCAGGGCTGTAGAGTGCATAACTGAATAAATTTCAGATGCAGGCTGCATCTGCTTATCAGTACAGACGCATCCATCAGATGGCAGAGTCTACCAACACTGCGCTGACGCTGGAGGAAGTCTGAGTCAGAATTCAGGTCATCTTAGACGTCGGTCAGTCAATTACCAGAGAGGAGTTATAAAACCACAAAACCCACATTGCTTTATTAATCCCAGTACTTTAAAAAACAATCAAAAAACCCAC